ATCACTGCTGTCAAGTTATGAAAACCCCTTTGAAATAAAATTATGAAAACCATCTCAACGGGAACAACACTTTGCATTCTTTTATTTCCCGACAAAGTTTGCATTTTAACAAACAGCGTTCAAAAACAACAAAAAAAAAATTTTAATTCTGTAATAATTTATTTCATGATTTTTAAGATTATGTATGTTTACACATAATTTGATAATTGTTGATTTTTGAAAACCCAAATCCACACAATCAGTTGATTACGACTAACTACAAACGTAAATGTAGTAAATAAACAGCTTAACATACTGTCTACGAACTTATGATTAAATGCGATGCATGTCGGCGCCAACCCTCTATTCCCCCTCTATATACCATTGCGATCTTCGGGCCGTGTCTCACTGTAGAATCCCAAATTCATAGTAGGTACCAGTTGGCTGTAGAATGACATATCGGCAGCTGATGGACGATGTTGTGCGGCTGACAGGTCTGTTGGTGCTGGCGCTGGTGGAGGTGGTGGACCAACGCCAGCCGGAGTCGTAACTAAATTTATAGGGCCCGCAGTGTTGGCGCCACCAGCTAGGCCCAAAATGTTTAGGGGTAGTGCACTCGCTATGCCCGATGCTGCGCTTATGGCGGCTTGTGTAGCCATGACGGCATTTTGCTGCAGTTCGTGCATTTTCATGTGTTTTTCGAATTCGTCGCGTTTTATGAATTGTATGCGGCACACTTCACATGGATATTGTGGTGCATGGAATTCCAATTCATGGCGTGCCAGCTTCTCACGTCTATTGAAACCAGTACCGCATTGTTTGCATGTGAATAGTGTGTCCAAATGCAATGCCTGATGTCGTTGTAAGTCGCGTTCACGTGTAAACGTTTTCTGACAAATGGTGCAAGTGAACATGCGTGGATGTGATGGTTTATGTGGTGGTGGTTTCGGCATTAGCGGACGTTGCTGCAGTTGTGCGGCTAAGATGCTATGCTGGCGATATTGATCCTGTGGCGAGGGCATGCTAGCATGGGGCTGTGTAGACTCAGCTTCACCATAGGGATTAAGAGAGACCACTATATTTTCTGGTTGTCCAACAACACCACCAACCTCGTCACTTTTAACACCACCACTTAGCGTTGCACCGTTACTTTGATTAAGCAGTAATTCGGAGTCACGCCGGTAGTGCGTCTGTTCATGCAAATGCAGTTTATCTTTGCGTGCGAAAGTACTTGGACAAAGACTACATTGGAATGGCTTTGAGTTTGTATGTGTACGAATGTGTCGCATCAGATCTGTCGCGCTTGAAACGGATCGTGGGCAACGCGTACAAACGTGTGGTTTTACGCTGCTATGAATTCGTATGTGTTTTGTTAAATTGGTATTACGAGAAAAGTTTTTTGCGCAAACAGGACATGAGAACGGGCGCACACCAGTGTGTACAATGGTGTGTTTTTTCAAATCCGAACGCCGGCAGAAGCCCTTTTTGCAGAATGCACATACATATGGCCGCTCAGGATCATGTAGTTCCTTGATATGGTATATTAAATTCTGACGACTTGATGTGCGTTGTGAACAAAAGCTGCAGACATAAGGTGCGGCACTGTCGTGTTGTGATTCATGCTCTTGGCATTCTGGTTGCGTTGTAAATGCCATATCACAATACTGGCAAAGGAAGGTGTTTTTAATCACAATTTCTCCGGCAATAAATGAGTCGCTACCAAGCATGTTGGGAAAAGCAGTTGGTGCTTCGGGCGCAGGCATAGAGTTGTCGGTGTTTTGCTGTTCCTCTGTGGTCATTGGAACTGTTGCCGGNGCCGAATGCTCTTCGCCCTCAGAATCCGATTCCATAGAAAAATCATCCTCTGAACTTTCGTAATCTTGATTGGGGTCCACTTCAGTTATTATGCAATTATCTTCAGGCTCAAATGTGCCTGGGTTGCCATTAAGACCCGGACGTTGATCCACGCAATCTGCCGTTCTTCTATTTTGGCGTTCCACCCAACTCTGCAACTCAGTCTCAATTCTTTGCACATTTTCGCGAAAAGCGGAAAACGCCTCAACCATTGCAAAACAGCGCTGGCAGATGTTACTAGGCAACAACGTTGATTGCTGAAACTGATTCAGAAACAACTCGCACATGATATAACCTCCTTAGCTTAACAAACCACACATCTTACCTTAACACCTAACAAATCATACAGCCGTTCCACCATTGGCATTCTTTTCTCTGCTCCAACGGTTGGTGGCGATTTTTCTGCTGACTGTGGAGGCTCCTCCTCAAAGATATTCACAATTGATTTGTCATGACGCAAACATAGGCGACATAGTCCAGTGCCGTCATCCATTGCTGAAGATTCTGCTGGTGCAGCTACCGCCTCGAGATCCACCATTGCTGTAGGCTGCTATAGAAATGATATGCGCGTTTAGAGAATAATTTTTCTTTTTTACACAAATTATTGAGATGCTGCTTTGTTTCGAATGAAAGTCATAAGCTCCTAAGATGTTTTTAGTGCAGTAAATTTACAAAAATGAATGAATTATCAACGCGTCGCTCAAAAATACGGCAAAATTACGCGAAAAGCAATAAAACAGAGTTGCTGTGCCAAAACACAGTGTTGCATTCTGTTTGCGGCTGATCGCTCTAACACCACGTTTAGGTGGGCAAATTTTCATAGCGCGCTATAAGCAATTTTCGACGGTGCGGATAAAAATAAATTATTTTTATTTAGGGGATTCCCTTAAACTCCTAAAACCCCCTCTAAACGAAAGAGAATGGACCGCGCTTTGTTAAAAGTCACCCCTCCCCCGTAATGCTCCACAGACCACTTGTGAGCCGTTTGCAAATATGGGAAACTTGGATTTTTTGCAAAAGGATTATAACCTTCACTAAGTAGATTTCTATTATCTGTGTTGCCGAAGAAGAGCTGCTGAATACCTTTCGTGGATATTTTTTATATCCATTTCAGGATTTTCGAGCCTATTTCAGGATTTTCGAGACAGCTTCGGTATTTTTAAGATTTTCGAGAATATTTCAGAATTTTCGAGACTACTGCGGGAATTTCGGAACTACTTCGTGGTTTTCGGGGATTTTAGAAAATGTTTCGAAATTTTCTGGATTACATCGAGATTTTCGAGACAACTTCGAGGTTTAAAAAATTTTTTAAGTTCTCGCGACTAGTTCGAGATTTTCGAGATTTTTAGAATTCTATGGACTTTTTCGGGTTTTTGAAACTAAACATATTGATAAATATATCAAGAAAAATATCGATTATTATATCGGTAACAATATCGATAAATATGTGTATATATGAAATATCGATAAACATATTGACTAAATATCTATAAAAATATCGATAAAATATCCATAAATATATCGTTAAATATAACTATGAACAGATCGATAAATTTATCGCAAAGTACTTCGATAATAAGAGTATAACGAGAATTCCGAAATAGTCGCGGGAATCTCGAAGTAGTCTCGAAAGTCCGAAAATAGACTCAAAAATCCTGAAATATTATCCAAAATCCCCAAATTCTTTATTATTATACCATGTCCCCACCGGAGCTAACCACGTAGTTATGGCTACTGAGTTGGTTATCCCGATAACCCACTTGATTTAGCGTAGTTTCTCCATATAAAAATGACAGCACTTAACCATTTCACTGAGATGGTTAAAAGCTAACCAACTCGAAACCACGTCGAGGGTCTAATACAACCCTGTGTTTTCCCGCCATCTGTGGGTCATTAGCGTTAAAATGTAAAGAATTCGTTCCATACTAGTGTTTGGACTCAGCTAAAATCAGATTAGATTTACTCCGGTTTTTAAAAAAATTTGAAATAAAGTCCTCTACTCCGCTTGACTTCAAATCTATTCCGTTTTTTCATTCATGTTATGCCCCTCTTGGGGCCGTTTTTTGAGTGTTCACCACCGGTTTCAGTAAAAAAATTGAAAGTTAGCCAAATCTCACTGTTAAAAAGTAACTCTTTCATAGCAATGCGTCAATAAAGTAACTTCGTTATTTTTTGATGTATGGCTGTACAAATTGGCGGATGCAGAACTTTACTTAAGTTGTTAAAAAATATATGTAAAATGAAATTTATATAAAGTAGAAAAGGTTTGCTTTTTTAAAAATTAAGTGTTAGATACGTTCTACTATATAGAAAATGCTAAAAACTACCTAATTTGTAACATATCCTTATATTGCCTCGCGTACTTATTTTGAATGAATAGAAAATATTTTAGTCAAACGATTAATGTCAGAAACAAAAATTCAATCTAGTACGGAAACTTTGTTTTTGCTCCAATTTTTGCAGGAATTTAGTCCTGAATCGATTTTTGGAAGTCCGAACACTGTTCTTTACATTTATACTGTTTTATAAACCTTAAACCGCAGTGTGGACAGCAATAGTTAGTGAGGTGGTTAAGTTCGATTTGAGATGGTTAACTTTTTGGTGGGGACATGGTATTAGAGTGGTGAGTTTAAAAGAGATGTAATGAGGGCGTGTGTGAATCGGTAACAAAGTTCTATGGGGAAAGCTGTTGAATAATATTTTTACTATGGTGAGACAGTTTTGCCAATCTGCTGTGTGAAATAAAATATTTTTTGACAGCAGTAAATTTTTGATAACCGCAGATTTATTTGGAATAAAATATTACAAATTGAAGTGAAATTAATATTTTAAGAAAGCATCTACCATCGTTGANATTTCACTAGCCTCATGAGCTACTGAAATTTTATTCACCTCATAGTTGTCAAAAATTTACTCGACGCGAACTTTGTTACCGATTCACACACGCTCCGAGTTAGTTTGAGGTGATGTAAGATAAGGTCGGGTGTTTTTTTACTTTTTTCATATATGAAAAAGTATTTAGTTTTTTAGTACTTAAGTATCTACTACAGCATTTTCAGTTTAAATTAAACCATTTTCAAATTAAGTGAAACCT